TTTCTATTCTGACATCGCTCGTGTCAGAATAAAGAAAAAAAGACACAGCACTGTTTCTGTCCTGGGCGGCCGGGAGCGGGAGGCTCCCAGAGCAGCCGGGAGAGTTTTCTTTTCTTTTTTTACAGCAGCAGAGCCGCCGGACAATAGAAAACTATTGGGCAGAGCTAGCTGTCACTGCTAGCTCCGCACAATCGTTTTCTATTTACTTTTTTTTACTTTATTCGCTCTTCATCTGTTCTGCTCGGTCCCTCTGAGGGACCGAGCAGAACAGCCGAGCTGAATGCCGCTCGGCGGCATTCGGCTATTCTCTCACTGCTGTTCGGGATCTTTCAGAATAGCCCGAACAGCAGTGAGAAGCCTGCCAGAGGTTCGGCTCAGCCGATCCAGATGTTGGATCGGCTGAGTCGAACTCCTTCTGCACTTCGGGTCAGCCGAACATGCTGAGCATGTTCGGCTGATCCGAAGCCACACGAAGCAAGCCGATGTACGGCTGATTTCAGACGATGTACGGCTGAAATCAGCCGTACCAGGCTGAAGTGAATAGCCGAACAGTGTTTGGCTCACTTCACTTCTGATCGGTCATTCACTCGGCTGCCCTCGGCAGCTTCGTGAATAGACCCCATAGTATTACTCACTGCCACATAACTCAGACCATCCATTGAGATAATTGATTATACTGTAAATACAGGGAAAGAGGAGAGGGAGGAAGGAGAAGGGTACACAAGGTATGTAAACAACACTTTCCACCTTTCTCCCTATGACTATACACAGGATTTGAAAGAATAATATTCATATATTAACACAGATTCAATAACAGTCTCAAATGCCAAAGAGGTCTGAGAGCCACCATAACCAGTGAGAAGTACTTTCCATCTTGCTACCATCACAAAAAGACCCTCAACTTCTAACTCCTGATTAATTTGGGTGCAGGATGGAGTATTCGTAAATCTAAAATCACTATTTTTAAATCAAAACTTAGTTATAGTTGCCCTTCCATGCACCTACAAGATACATTTTGTGGGGACTTATTGTGACATTGTAACAAAATGTGATGTTGTGACATTGGGATATTGTAACACAATTGACTGCCACAGGACTTTTCTCATTACCTGAGGCAATATCTCTGATATGGAGAGGTGGAGGAGGGAATTACCTTCTGTCAGCTTGCAAAATGCATTAGTCACCATTTTATTACCCTCTTTTATCATTTCCTCATAAAAAAATGGATCCTACAACCAAGTGTATGTAAGGAAAATATTCTTTAAATTATTATTCAAATGTTTTACAAATGTAACAAATTCTGATCCACATCCAGAATGAGACACAAAAAGCCACTGAAGGGAAGATCACACTTCTATCATCCAATATGTAAAAATGCATATGCTATATCTATTTCCTGCTTCTGATAATGCATTCTTCTATCAAGTGTAAATCAATTGTTATCAGTAGGGATGAACTCTGGTTTAGTACAAATCTGGACAACAATTGAGCTCCTCCGAGCAAAGAAACGCTTTGGGCACTCCCACCAAATCTGTTGCAGACCGAACATTCCCCACTCTGCAGCTACATGTAAGCTAAGATGCAGATTGCTTGTACTGATGTAATTTACCTTATTTGGCCACATTGTAGGTAAATATCATCTACCAAATATAGACAGATAGCCAATGACATCATTACAGCACACCCTTTTGCTTACGTCAAGCAGCAGTTGGGGAATTCTGTGCCAGCAGATGATTTGGAGGAGAACTATGAGGTGAGTGACTATCACTCATCCTCATAGTTCGAGCCGACATGTTACAATTAAACTGTCACACGTCGGCTCAATAGATCGGGAAGTTCGCTCACTTCTCGATCATCTCCCTGCAGAGAGCCGTGACTGTCAGTCACGCCTCCCAGCTGGGATTCTACCCTCCCCGCTCAGATCCTCCAGTGCTGACTGGATGAACAGATGGGGAGGGGGCGGGTACAGCTGGCTCTGCCTCTAGATAGGCAGAGCTAACTGTCACTCATGCAGCTGGGTGGATCTCGACAGTAATGTCGGGATCCGTCCTGGCTGCGTCGCTCTCAGTATACTGCGAGCTGTAGCTCACGATATACTGAGCTTTGGGTCATGGGGGGATGCTAGTATATGTCCTCCTGTGACCCTTAAGAGAACTATGGGGAAAACACTTACCCCATAGTTATCTTTCAAGGTCCAGAGGAACTCAGGTTCAGAATTAATGTGAGCTCATTCCAATTCATCAGTACAAACTGAACAAGGTTTGTCCATCCATAAACCCACTCCAATGGATTCCTGCATGCTTACAGTTTTACCCAATGTGGGAAGGACTTAAATAAGTTATCTACAAGCTCTCTAACCAGAATATACCCACCTTCAATCTCCACATGTTGAATTAACTCTAGAACATGCTTAGAAATGTACAGCTCTGACTTTAATTTCTTTACCACATGCTGCAATTTTGCATCCAAATACTATCCTACCCTGGATATGATAGCATGACTATGGTGGCTGATAGGATTTTTGGGGATTGTTAGGTAAAGAAGGTTGGAGTGGTGTATTTTTTAAACACTGAGTATTTGAGTTATTTTTCCAATAACATTGCTTCAACATACCCCCACTCCATCTTCTTATTAAACTCCCCATCCCCACTCTACCACCCCCAGAAAGGGACTGTGCACTAATCTCTGATAATTCATTGATCCATCAATAACCTGATAGGCTTCTATTTATATTGTTCCTCCTGCATCATGACAATAGTGCCCCTTAATATTACCTTTGGTATCAAGCTTAGAATTAGATCCCAGGCTGCAATTCCACCCAAACACATGTGAGAATAGTATGCAACATGGCTAAAAAAAAACTCAAGGTAAGGCAAACAATTTATTTTTTAACTAGTTTAAATATGTTTTTATTATAATTAGCAGTTCATTGTTTGGTTTAATTTTTTGGCCTGGGGTTGTCTTTAAAAAAAAATACATTTACCTACATTGAATAACATTCATTTCTTGGAATGCTGACCTTTTTATTTTTCTAATTTTACTATGTTTAATGGTATATATAATGATTCATATTCTTTTTTTATCTTAGGCCCCAATAGGTCGATGTTCTGAAGAATGTCTTCCAGGGTTTAGAAAAGCTCTAAGAGAAGGGAATCATGTATGTTGTTATGACTGTGTTCCGTGTTCAGAGGGAGAAATATCAATCCATTTTGGTAATATTTATGTTCTTTGAAAACTTTAAGGGAGCATACTTCAGTTTTAAATATTTAAAATAAATAGGAAGTTCACTTTTTCCAGTGTGACCAGTGGTTATTTAAAAAGTGTTGCTATAAATATAAATTGCTAACTGTATTTTGCAGTTTCCCCCTGTTGTATTGACACCAATACAATGTTTATGGTAAAAAGCATGAAGAAGTTAGTTACACATTAATTTAAAGCATTTAACAAAATTGTTAATATTTTTTTTGCTCACATCACAAAAAAGGCATATTTATAACATAGTAAATGTGAAATTTAACAAACATTCACCTGTGGTTATTCATTCCCTGCGTTTTAAAACACATTCACTAAGAAAATTACCTGCAGTGAATGTTATGTGGATGTCAAAATTAATAAATATTTTATAATAACAGTCTGTTTGCCTTTAGTAAATCAAACCCAAAAGGTCACAATGCAAAGCATGTCTTGCTGTGAGAATGTTAATTTTCCTTCCTTCTGAGAACTAGGAATACACATAAGTTTGTGTTCCGAGTTTTCATACCCACTGTCAATTCTAGAGATGAGTCATAGCGGTATTGTTAAGTTATCTGACACATATCCACACTGGTAAACCAGGTCTGGGCATCTAAGCTTTAATAAACTCTGGTGACAAGAAGGTTGGGTGTCAGCATTCATTGTACATTATGCACATTGTTCAGTATATTTTTCTTCTACAGATAGTGAAAACTGCCAGATGTGTCCTGAAGATCAATGGCCTAATGAGGCTAGAAATATTTGTGTTGCCAAACGTTATGAGTATTTGTCATATGAGAAGGACATAATGGTTATATTTTTTTCTGCATCTTCGATCATATTATCTGCTACATCTCTCTGTATACTTGGAATATTTTTTTGGTTTCGGAGAACTCCCATAGTCAGAGCCAATAACAGGAACCTTAGCTTCATTCTGCTCTTCTCTCTCATGCTGAGTTTCCTTTCTGTTTTCCTGTTCCTTGGCCATCCGGTGGATATAACTTGTATGCTACAACAAGTCTTCTTTGGAATTGTCTTCACAGTCTCTCTGTCTTCTATCCTAGCCAAAACCACCATGGTTTTTATTGCTTTCAAAGCCACCAGACCTGGAAGATGCTGTAGAAAATGTGTGGGAATCAAACTTCCCAATACAGTCCTGTTGTTCTGCTCATTAATTCAGGTTATGAATGGTGTTTTCTGGTTGTCCATCTCTCCACCATTTCAAGAGTATGACATGCACTCTTCTCCTGGGAAGATCATCATTCAGTGTAATGAAGGGTCAGTTATTGGGTTCTACTCTGTGTTTGGTTATATGGGGCTTCTGGCAGCAGTGAGCTTTGTTCTGGCTTTCATGGTGAGGACATTACCAGACAGTTTTAATGAGGCCAAGTACATCACCTTCAGCATGCTGGTCTTCTGCAGTGTCTGGATTGCCATGATCCCGGCTTATCTGAGTACCAGAGGAAAGTATACAGTGGCTGTGGAGATATTCGCTATACTGACCTCCAGTGCTGGAATATTAGTCTGTATATTTTTTCCAAAATTGTATATTCTACTTTTTAAACCTGAGCTGAACACAAGAAAATCCATCATGGCAGGAAGAGTGATGTAAAATATTCCAATCTTAATACATGTATGCTGTATTTTATCTGCTTTCATTGACCTTTAAAGGGATTATTATTATTATTATTTATAATAGTATTCATAATATAACACATCCAATTCTAGTTTTGTATTCTTAGTAATTGAACTTCTTTGACTATATATTATCATACAAACTGAAATTAATGATAATGGTTATTAGGGATTTAATTAAATTTTAAGTGCACTTTAAAACAAAGGGAGCTTATCCTTTTTTGCCCCTTTAATTGAACTAACCTAACCCACTCTACCCCTCCCCTTATGAATACTTACCTAGATGTGATGGGCCGTGCAGGTTCTCAGGATGACTATGCAGACTCTCAGGTAGGCTATGCAGGCTCTCAGATGGCTGTATGGGGTCTCAAGTGAGCTATGCCGACTCTCAAGTTGGCTATGTGTGCTCTCAGGTGGGCTATGCAGGCTTTCAGGTGGGCTATGCACACTTTCAGGTGGGCCATGTGGACTCTCAGTTGGGCTGTCAGATTGCTGTGTGGGGCCTCAAGTGGGCTATGTGGGCTCTCAGGAGAGCTATGCAGGCTCTCAGGTGGCTGTGTGGGATCTCAGGTGTGCTATGCAGGCTTTCAGGTGTGCTTTGGGGGAAGTGCAAGGGTCTCACCTGAGGTCCGGAGGAAGGCAGCGTGCTGTCAGGAAGGAGCCGGATAAGGAGATGTGCGGACCAGTGCTTGCTTAGGGGCACCTGCTGCTCACAGGAAGATGTGGCTGTCTGAGGTACGACACTTGCTGGGGACTTTAGGCAGCCACATCTGCCAAAAAATGTAAAGTGCCGGTATTGGCACTTAGAGGTCTATTCACGAAGCTGCCGAGGGCAGCCTAGTGAATGACCGATCTGAAGTGAAGTGAGCCGAACACTGTTCGGCTATTCACTTCAGGCTGGTACGGCTAATTTCAGCCGTACATCGGCTTGCTTCGTGTGGCTTCGGGTCGGCCGAACATGTTCAGCATGTTTGGCCGACCCGAAGTGCAGAAGGAGTTCGACTCAGACGATCCAACATCTGGATCGGCTGAGCCGAACCTCCGGAAGGCTTCTCACTGCTGTTCGGGCTATTCTTAAAGATCCCGAACAGCAGTGAGAGAATAGCCGAATGCCGCCGAGAGGCATTCGGCTCGGCTGTTCGTCTTGGTCCCTCAGAGGTACCGAGCAGAACAGAAAAAGAGTGAAAAAAGGAAAAAAAGTAAATTCCAAACGATTGTGCGCAGCTAGCAGTGACAGCTAGCTCCGCCCAATAGTTTCCTATTGTCCGGCGGCTCTGCTGCTGTAAAATAAAAAATAAAAAAAAGGAGAGGAGAGAAGGAGGGAGAGAAGCGTCTTTTTTTTCTTTATTCTGACACGCGATGTCAGAATAGAAAAAATAAATAAATACATTTTCCCATTGAAAAGCATTGGGACATTACTATTGGCTATTTCAATTTGCACCAATAGTAAGTAAACTAGCATTGTACCCGCCCTCTGCTGATGGACCTGATGGGGAACAGCAGCAGAGGGCGGGTACAATGCTAGTTTACTATTGGCTATTGCAAATTGAAATAGCCAATAGTAATGTCCCAATGCTTTTCAATGGGAAAATTTCTTTTTTTTTTCTATTCTGACATCGCTCGTGTCAGAATAAAGAAAAAAAGGCACAGCACTGTTTCTCTCCTTGGCGGCCGGGAGCAGGAGACTCCCGGCTGCCAGGGAGAGTTAGCTGTTTGGAGATCAGTGTCCCTGGTTTGCAGGTAACCAGGGACGCTGATCTCACTGCAAGTGTCCAGAGCCAGCCGTAAGATCGCGGCTGGCTCCGCCCAGCTGTCAGAAGCAGGCTGTCGGCTGGCCAATGGCCGGCCGCTCGGCCAGCTTCGGCTTTCAGCACGGCCATGATCGGGAGCTGTACGGGCTATTGTGAATAGCCCATACAGCACCCCTTCGGTTCTACTGAACCAAAGGGGTCCTGGGGCCGAAGCTACGGCCAGATCCTTCGGCAGCTTCGTGAATAGACCCCTTAGTGTCTTGTGTCCGGGTCAGCTGGCCTGAAACCCGGACACAAGACTCAAATACTGGACTGTCCGGGTAAATCTTGGACATAGGGCAACCCTATATTAATACCCCATAGCCTTTTGTAGGATGTGTCTAGGGACTGTGTCTTAATTAGAGACAATCCTATAGGGCTGTAGTGTGCAGCTGTTGCCAGGGGAGTGAAGACTTGCAGCACTGGATGTAAACAAACTGTGAATCTGCAGTTGTGGGAGGTCAAGGTGAGTATGCATTCTTGCAGGGGAAGGGGGAGGGTGGATTAGGTTGGGTCAGGGAAAGGAGCAAAAATGGAAAATGCACTATATTTTAAAGTACACATGTTCTTTGCAGGAAATTCATTTAGGAGATATTCTGGCAGCAAAAACCTTGTGCAATTATATGTCGCCTTTTCCATTTGTATGGAATCCTGATTCAGACTATGGATCTGATCCTAATCCAGACTGAGATAGAATAATCTGGCTCCAACATGGACCTCACTGGAACACTGATTACCATAAGACAACAAATTGCTAAATTATTAGAGTTTTATGTTATTTATAAAAAATCATTAAAACCATGGTCAAAGGGGGCTTGGAACTAAAAATCGAGGTCCACTTATTTAATCAACAACCCACCACATGACAAAAAGGTAAATAAAACTGTAAAAAAATAAAGAAAACAAATGAGGATATACTCACCTTCTACCCATTGTGCTTAGATGATTTAAAAATTCTTCTTGCAAGATATCGGGAACAATGAGGATCCAAAATCTTCCTGTGTCCTCTGCATAAAAGTTGTAAGATGCAACAACACTCCTTTGGAATCCCCTTCACCACCTCAATATCTTGTATCCCAGCTAAAACCATCATAATCTTCATCACTTTCAAAACCAAAAGACATGGAAACTCCTGTAGGAAATGGGTGGGAGTCAAACTTCTCAATAGAGTCATGTTGTCCTGCTCATCCCTTCATGTTATGAATAGTGTTCTTTGGTTTTCCATTTCTCCACCATGTATGATAGGCACTCCTTTCCTGGGAAAATCATAATTTGCTGAGCTCATTTAGTGTAATGGGTCACTTTTTGTATTCTATTCTCTGTTTTGAGTTATATAAGGTTTCTGGCAGCTATGAGTTTTGGCTTTCATGATGAGGACATTACTTGAGGACAAGTACAACACCTTCTGCGTGCTGGTATTCTGCAGTGTCTGGATTGCCATGACTTTTGGCTGTCTGAGCAGCAGAGGAAAATATATGTTGGCTGTTGAGGTATTCTCCATGCTAACCGCCATTGCTGGAATATTATTGTGCATGTCTTTCTCAAACAACTGTACATGTTGCAGCTGACTACAAAAGGAAACCATGTTGGAATAAAGGTTGTTGTAAAAATGGTACACTGACCAAATGTATAATGGATGTAGACCAGACTAAAACAAGTTCAGTCATAGTGCCATTATAATCATCATCTTTTTTTCACAACCTTGTCATCATTATTATTACATTTTTGTGCATTTTAAAGCAAAGAATAAATAGGGATAAAAGGCAACTACAGTTATGAAATCCAACTATTGGAAATATGCAGACTATTTTGCACAACTTTCTTTTAGTATTTTTCTAGAAGAACTGTTAGGACAAATATACAACATAAATAAAGCTTTCCTATAGTTTGTGTGTGGTATTTACGGTCGCTATGTAAGGTCACTTTCATGCAGACACAAACATTACACCTACGTATATTGTCAAAAGTATGGGGAACCGCTCCACAAATATCCACAAAAATGGGGTGAGGGGATGACTTCATGTTAATGACCATAGATTTGCAATGGGATACCAAACAAGCTCATATAGGTGTGATATACTACATGACCAAACCTTTTTGGTCATCTGACCATTGTGATATTATGACTGTGAAATTTCATATATAACTTTGATTTCTAAATATTGCTTTAGTTAAAATTTCTACTTTCATCTCATTGCGCTGCTGGAGTATTTCCTTGTCTCTTTCACAAAGTTTGCTTCATAATTTAGCAATGTTAAAGGAGAATTATGGGAAAAGTGAAATACACACTTTTCCCCAGAATTAGAGCCAATGTGTGACCCTGCAGCTGTATAGATCAGGAACCTCTGTTTGCTCATTTTTGGATCTTCTCCCTGCAGAGGGTGGTGACTGTCTGTCACCGCTCCCCACATAGATTCCTTCCTCACTTCTCCATTCCTGCACTGCTGCCTGGAGGGACAGATGGGGAGGGGCGGACACAGCTGGCTTTCCCCCTAGAGAGGCAGAGCCAGTTGTCAATCTGTCAGCCAGCAGGGTTGATCCTGACAATAATGTTGGGATCCATCCTGGCTGCAGCGTGGCTCTAAACGGTCAGCATATAGCAGGCAATTGCCCGCTATATGCTGAGTTTTGGGTCACAGGAGGACATAGTATATGTGGGACATAGTTACAAAAGGTTGGGCCATAGTTCTCTTGTAACAGTATGTCAGGTGGTCTATACCCACTTGAGTCTAGTGTTATATTGAATGATTCTGATGATGTTTTTCTATTTTTCATTTTTGTATCAAGTATTGAGGTTATTATGTTCTTCTGCTTAATAAAAATCCACAGACAGACTTTTAGAAAGAGGAAAACAAAGTTACTCTGAAAAAGTCACTTTATATATACAGCATATACCATATTTGCTCTAAACAAAGATTTGGTAATCTACTGATTATCATTATCTCTGCCAGGAGACATATATACCCTCCTCTCTTGGGAAGATCATCATTCAGTGTAATGAAGCAACAGATTCTGTTTTGGGGTATTATTCTTGTCTTATTTGGCGTCATTGCTGGGTGATACTTATTGCAGCACAGAATGTTTCTTATATAATGGTGCATGAGAAAGGTCATTTTCTGCATTACTTTGAGCCTAGGTCAGCCTGATGAGGCACAGGAGGTGTGTCCAGCCTGGTTTACAGGTAACGGGTTAAATGATGTCCACCATTAAACCCAGAAGAGGAGTGATACAGTGAAAATGATATTTATTGTAATACGTGCAGGGAAAGTAACTTTTTTTGTTATGCATGAAAGTATGCTTTCAAAGGCACATATTTAGACTTTTAAAACATAAAAAATGGGGTGCATCAATGTAATTAGGAATTGATGGTCTTCCAGCCTGCTGATCTCTAAAGTAACCACAAAGCAGATACACAGGAAGAGGAGAGTCCCAACTTGAAGAACTTCACTGCTTCTCTTGAGATTTTGAGTGTGAATTTCTCCACAGTGGCTGCAGCTACAAAGGTCAGCAAGGGCTTAAAGCTAGCTACCCTTCTGTTAAGAATTTGTACATATTTGAATGTTCTTAGTCTGCCATGGTTCCATTTTAGGTGGTGTAACATGGTGCCAGTAAAACCTGCCAGGTTGGCAGGAAAAGTGATAGATGGTAGATACATTTCTCCACGGATCCTTAGATTCATCATCTAAGGTAATGCCAGCATAGAATTGGAGGTAAAGAAAAATAGCTCTTTACCTTGTATTGGTAAAACAAATCCTGGTGCTGGTGTTACTAGGAGTCTGATAGAGCTCTGGGTGGGACAGACTCCTAGTTCCATGGACCGTAGTTTAGTGAAGACTGCACAGGACTTCATTAGTGTGTAGCTGCACCTAGCTTCGGGGAAGTGTATGTCTCAGTGCAAGGAGAGACAGTGTGCTGAATGCAGCAAGTTATGTGTTTGGAGCCAAGCCTGTCAGCAGGACAGGGTTCTGTGGATGGACTGTAACTGTTCCCATAAAGGAAACGGACCCAGCTCAGCGGACTATCGCGAATACCCAGTAAGGCTCAGTGGAGCGGACTTTAATTTGTTTATGACAATGTACATTTTTGGGCTGGATGCCTGTAACCTTTTTTTTGTCAACTGATTGCTGTCTGGAATTAAAGCTGGCATTTTTGTTGAAGAGACTGCGAGTTTGCCTCTACATTGAGACTGGTTCCCGACAGTGGGTAGTAGAGATATGCCAAATTACATAGAGCAATAAACCAAAGGAGCAATAAGCAATACATTTTGGGGAATTTCATGTACTAATATGCGAATCTTCTTATCTAAGAAAGCAACACAAAGTATGTTTGTTGAAAGCATTTTGGTTCCTTTCAGTCAATGTAGGCTGACCAGCAGTTCTATTTCTTGTCCACACACCTTTGAAAATGTTTTTCATGTTGTCCATTTAGTGAGCATTCATACTTTTGCTGGTCAATAAAAGTTGTCATCGGAAGAGATCACTTTAATTCTCAATTTAACAGAGAGAGCCAACGGAAGAGAAAAAAAAATACAAAAATACAAAAAAGTTTAAAACTATTGAACAATTATCCCCCATCAATGACATTATTTTGTGGCGTTTGTGCAATCACAAAGAGTGCTTTCTGAATTCCCACACAGACATGCTCCAAAAATTAGTGAAAAGTCTTTTCAGAATAGTAGAGGCTATTATAGCTGCGAAGGGTAGGAAACTCTGCATGAATGCCCATATGTTTGATAAGGGATGCCCATTAAGCTTATATAGGTGTGATGGTCAGGTGTCTAAGAACATTTGGCTATAAAGTATAAAGCCTCTGGAAGGGGATATATTAGATTATATGGGCAGGGGTGGATAAAGATTGCATATGCTCTCTATTCAGATAAATAGTTTAGACCAGAAGATACAGCATGCTGTAATAGGGGTGAGACTATACAAAAACAATATAAATTTGGGATATTGCAGGGTTAAAATTGTAGAGAAACAGAACTTTTTTTCTCAAAGCAGAGCAAAGGGAAAATAAATATTCACAATGCAAATATATTATTGGTTTGTATTTTTATGTTTAATGTTTTTTTTTGTTTCAATGGTTTTTGTTATTTTTGACATAAAAACAAAACTTACACAATACAGTTGCAGGTATAAGGCATGAGATACAGTCATTTTGTCCGCTACAATTGTAAGTTGGTTGCCACGTTGTTTACAAATAGCTTTAAGGTCAAACAAAATAAGTTAGCATCCCTAAGGTGTTTATCGAAGAGACCAAGGTGCCATATCTAGACAACCAAGATTGAGAGAAAAGAATAAAGAACAGAAGAAAAAGAGGGGTGGGTGGGGGGGGAGGGGGGGTCTGTGGTAGCGGGGTAATACCCCCAAGCTAGGGTGTACACTCAAACTGACGTTAAGCTCGTGGGCAGTATATTTGGATGCGTATATGCCAACCAGGGGTCCCAGACCTTCCGAAATTTATTTTGGGTGTCCGCCAGGACACTGGATAATTTCTCGTTAATAAAGAATGAATCAACCCGTCTGCCAACCCCACTAAAGGGAATCTGCTGTTTCCTCCATGCCTGTGCTATAGTTTGTTTTGCGGCTAGAAATATAAATACTGCTAGTTTCTGCTGAGTGCTCATGAGCTTCGGAGGTTTAAGGTGTAACAGGGCAAACTTTGGGTCCCTGTGTATATTTGTGTAAAGAAATGTTTAAACAAAACTACAATATAAAATAATTTTATTAGATGGCCAGATGGCTAAAATGTTTATTTCAGTGTTCATCCTTATAAGTGTTTTTGTTTTATTTAATAGTTTTTACTAGCATGAGTTTTCTAGAATTCTTCTCCGGCTTTACAAAAATAATGTACATTTTTGGGAAAAATATACAGCAGAGTACTCCAGCACTGGAGGTCAGTATGGCGAATACCTCCACAGCAACCATGTATTTCCCACTGGTGCTCAGATAGGCCGGGATCATGGCAATCCAGACACTGCAGAACACCAGCATGCTGAAGGTGATGTACTTGGCCTCATTAAAACTGTCTGGTAATGTCCTCACCATGAAAGCCAGAACAAAACTTACAGTTGCCAGAAGCCCCATATAACCCAACACAGAGTAGAAACCGAAAACTGACCCTTCGTTACACTGAACGATGATCTTCCCAGGATAGGAGTGCATGTCATACTCTTGGTAAGGAGGTGATACTGACAGCCAAATAACACAGATCAGAACTTGGACTAGGGAGGACATGAAAACTATAAAATTATGAACCTTGACCTCCACCCACTTCCTCAAGGAACTTCCAGGCTTGGTAGCTTTGAATGCAACATATACAGTAGTAGTCTTGGCCAGAACAGAAGAGACTGTTATCGAGAAGAAGATTCCGAAGGAAATTTGTCTCAGCATGCAAGTTATATCCACAGGACGTCCTAAGAACAAGAAGACACAGAGGAAGCTCAGCAGGATAGAGGTCAGAAGGATGAAGCTCACGGTCTGGTTATTGGCTTTTACTATTGGAGTGCCCTGGTAATAAATAAAACTTCCTTTAATAAAAAGTGTTATAACTGAAAACAATGAAGCAGTGAATGAAAAAAATGGAACCAAAAGGTCATTTTCATAGGACAAAAAATCATATGTTTTGGGGATACATTTTACTTTTCTCTCATCTGGCAATTCTTCCTCTGGACACCTGTGGCAACTTTCACTGTCTGCAAAATAGAGGAAACATAAATTATAAGCAATACTATTTGAAATGGTGTTTCTCAAGAAATGAGGTGGGTATTCTGTACATCCTTTTGTTTTGCAGTAATTAGCTCAGTCCTGGACCAATTTCACTCCCTAGCTTTCCTGTGCAAGGTGTTGCCAGTTATAAGATGCCCATACACTTTTCAAATTACTTGCTGTCTCAGAAAGTTTGTCATTTGCACAAATTAACATTTTAAACAGAATATACATTCTGCATACAGCTTTCTGCATTCAGCAATATGCTGCTAATATAATGGAAGATACTGCAATGGTATGTATACATCTAGCTAGTTAAAAAATCTAAAGACACTTTTATAACTGGACAGCAATGTAAAAAAAATGACCTAGGCCCCATTCACACCAGGGCGGTTCGGCCGCGGAGATTTGGCCACGCGGATTTGTCGACATGAACAAACCCATAGATTGCTATGGGAACCGTTCATGCGACTGTGCGGCTCCACGTGATCTGAACAGCCTCCGCCGGAATTGCTCCCTGACCCTTTTTTGCCATACTGATCATCGCAGTTTCTATACTGCTTTCAATGGAACTGCGCTGATCAGCGCAGTTTTGGGTGTTATTAATTGCGTTTCAGCACAGCAAAAAAAGGGTCAGGGAGCAATTCAAGCAGGAGGCAGTTCAGATCACGCGGAGCCACGCGGTTGCATGAGCAGTCCCCATAGCAATGTATGGGATCGTTCATGTTGGTGGATCCACGCGGCTGAACTGCCCTGGTGTGAACGGGGCCTAAGAGATGTCATGAATTTTTTGACTATCTTGGTAAGTGTTGTTTTTACATTCACCATCAATGTTAAACCTGTACTTAAATTATGCTATACATATATACCTATCACATTGGACACTTCCCCCTTGGGGCACGGGACACAGTCATAGCAGCAGACATGTATACTTCCATTAGGAGTTTTTCTGTACCCAGGAGAACATCTCTCATTGCATCTGGATTCTGGTTTCTAGTAAAATATAAAATACAAAATATAAACAATAATAACAATGATAATAATAATAATTAACACATTGAAAATCAGATTGTAATAATGACACAATCAGAAGTTGCTGTCATATTCTTTGCTCCTCTATTTGATATCTTATGTGGAACCATGGGGAACAAAAGTAGCCCCCCTCCAGAAGGAAGGACAGTGTCAGCACCAATTCTGAGATGATTTGAGGATCTACAGCCGAGTGATGCACAATTACATGGTTAAGGTACTTAAATGCATAGATACACTAGTGTAGTGTGGTGTCACCTGAGTGTAGTGTCACTTTAAACATTGAGTATCTAACTGAGATCTGTTTTATAATAGAAAAAAATCTAAATACTGTAGGTGTTAAATCGGAGACACTACTTGGTAATAGGAGCAGGTCAAATGAGTCCAGGAAATGCTGGAAGACCAACCCTCTAGTCATAATCTGTGTAACACATGACAGCAGAGGGTGGGGCTACATGCATTAGCCTGCTTTCTTGTGTAATAAATGACATGGAAAATTATGAAGACAAAGTGAGAAAAATGGTAAAGGGGCAAAACAATTGAAATACTGGGCTGAAAATGATCTACTATTGACTAAAAATGATTCAACACATACAGATTAAATCCCCTGTAGATGTGTACACATCAGACCCCAAAGTTTCTGAGCTTGCAAATAAAAAAATCCCCCCGTAAAAATAAAAAATTCCCATTTTTCCGATTAGTTGCCTTTTCAAAAACATGAGCTACATTAGCTTTTCGTACATAACATTGTTCCTTACAGGGCCATGCTTCCATATGACATCTTCAGGTTTGATGTTTAAAACCATATCAAAATCCAGAGACTTGTTAGTGAAATTGAACAATGGCAACATGACAAATGTATAGTTAGTGTGATTTTTTTTAACTATCCAATTTGCTAAAATCAGCTTGGAGGGCACTTCTGCTCTTCTTAATCCAGTAGAGTCCATCGAATGAACTTTCCTTACATACCTATGCAGCTTCCAAAGGAAAATAGATACAAAAGATAAAACATCATCCATGAGAGTTGTAAACATTGCCACCATTTCAAGACAAATGAAAGTTTACATATTCCTATACAATAATGAGTGAATCCATTCACAACCTGGGCATAATGGCATGGACTTTTTTTTTCAATGATGTAGTGATGTCCTTTCCCTGGCAGGTGTGTTGACATTCAACTGCTAAATGGGGACGTGTATTTGTGGTGAAAGTGCAATGGTAGAGAATAGCCGGTGCAGGATGTTGGGTTTTGCTTTGGCTGGTCATCAGGTATTGTTCATTGTGATTGACAATATATCTGCATCACTCGACATTACGATTGACAATGGATTTACACTGTGGTGCTTTGTTTTTTAAATAAAAGGTTTTATCGAGGGTTAGTTGTTTTTATTGATTACATACAGTACATCTGCGTACATCTTTGGTGAATGAGTTAAAAGGTGTACTATGTGCCCCCTGACAAGGCACTATTAGCTAGCCGAAGGATCGGCCGAAGCTACGGCCAGATCCTTCGGCAGCTTCGTGAATAGACCCCTATGGCTCCATGTTGATTTGGACACGGACCAAATTCTGGTAGAGCTTTGAAAAGGGTCCTTAAAAAAGTGACAGTGACTTTAAAGTACTAAAGAACAAAAAATTATCTGCACCAGTAAGCTGTGTATATAAAAGCTACTAAACACTAAAAATATATATCAGATATATCCAAATAATCTTGATGGTATTAATGATCTTAAAGTGACACTAAACTCAGAAGTGAAATTTTTAAAATACATTCAAGTACTCTATTACAACTATTAACTATTAACAAAAATGTATCTTATGTGTGTGTCACTCGGCTGTAGATCCTCCAATCATCTCTGAATTGGTGCTGACACTGTCCTTCCTTCTGGAGGGGGGCTACTTTTGTTCTCCATGGTCGCTATGTGTGTTGTAAAGTAGTCACCACTCCAAGCTCACTCCTGTGATGGACTACAATCGCAATACAAATAAGTAAACTAAACGTGAGATTGTAGTCCGTCCCGGGAGTGAGCTTGGAGTGGTGGATACTTTACAACACACATAGGGACCATGGGGAACAAAAGTTGCCCCCCTCTAGAAGGAAGGACAGTGTCAGCACCAATTCAGAGATGATTGGAGGATCTACAGCCGAGTGACACACAAATAAGATACATTTTTGTTATTAGTTAAAGCAGAACTACGGGGTCGGGGCTTTTCCCCATAGTTCTTCTAAGGGTAACGGGAGGACACAAACTAGTGTCCTCCCGTCACCCAAAGATCAGTGTAACGCGAGACACAGCTTGCGGTATACTGAGACGCTGCAGCTGAAGTGGATCCCGACATTGATGTCTGGATCCACCCAGCTGCGTGAGTGACAACTGGCTCTGCCTATCCAGAGGCAGAGCCAGCTGTACCCGCCCCCTCCCCCGTCCATTCCGCCACTCAGCGCTGGAGGATCGGACAGGGGAGGGGGGAACCCAGTCACTCCCCTGTCACGGCTCTCTGCAGCGAGACGATCGAGAAGTGAGCAAGCGACGGTATGTGTTCGCTCACTTCCCGATCTACTGAGCCGACCTGTGACAGTTTCATTGTCACAGGTCGGCTCAGATTATGAGGCTGAGTGAAAATCACTCACCTCATAATTCTCCTTTGAGGAAGAACTATGAGGTGAGTGATTTCCACTCATCCTCATAGTTAGAGCCGACCTGTGACAAAGAAGCTGTCACTGGTCGGCTCCAATGATTGGGAAGTGAGCAGAAACATGCCACCGATCTGCTCAGTTCCTGGTTCGTCTCCCTGCAGTGATTCCCCCCTCCCCTCTCCGATCCTCCAGTGCTGAGTGGAGGAACGAATGGGGGAAGGGGCAAGCACAGAGCCAGCTGTCACTCATGCAGCTGGGTGGATCTTGACAGTAATGTTGGGAGCCATCCCAGCTGTGGCGCTCACAGTATATCGCGGGCAATTAGAATACATTTTTAAAGGAGAACTATGAGGTGAGTGCTTTTCACTCACCTCATAGTTCTAGCCGACCTGTGACAATGAGACTGTCACAGGTCGGCTCAGTAGATATAGATGTGAATATTATAAGGTGAGGTGGCTTAGACAAACACTGTTTTATGCTGTTTTTTTCTGCAGCAGTGTGCTGTGAAAAAAAGCAAAACAAAGAATCAAAACAAATGAATGCTGCACTTTGAGCACCCCAAAAAATACACATAGAAAAAAAAAAGAAAATGGAAGCCTTGCAGCAAGAAAAACGTGAACCTACAATTTCCCATTGTATACAATAACATACTAATACATCCACAAAATAATTGAAAACAACAAAAAGAATACACTTAAACAAAAAACAACTTTTTCAAGTGAAGCCATAATGCACGAAAAAAATATAACCTAAGATAAAAGTCTTATTAACTGCCTCCGGGCCGGCCGTAGTAGAAAAACGGCCGGCCCGGAGCTCTCTAGATCTGAGCGGGCGTCTCTAGACGTCCG